TGCATTAGTCAGTGAGCACACACACACACATATTCAAGTAAGATAGCGCTGGTTTTACACACACATACACACGTCAAAGGAATTTACCAGGTATAAATGACTAAATGATGGCACTTACACTAAAGATTTCTTTGAAAAACCATGTTAAAGAAGGCAAAGAAATACTTTGTGACTTTTAGACAATGGGCTCAAAGACACTTAGACTCTTCTAAGACTACACATTATTCACCAAACAGGACCAAATAACTGACCCTATCAGCCGGAGGTTCTGTTTGACTGACGGGGCACTTGTGTCCATCCAAGCTCAACCCAGAACCGCAATTTGTGAAAGCAGATCTTAAGCATTCCCTCTCATCCCAAATCCTCCCTGTGGTCGCCCCGTTCATTTTTCATCATAATTGGCCAACAAATCAAGACAAAATGAGAGTCAGCTTTTGTTATTGAAACCACAGAGAGAGCTCCAGCAGTCTACCGACTGTCTTTTCCTTTGAGTCTGGGTGTCTCTGTGACTGTATATTTCTCATCTACATTATCAGGGTCTTCCATCTCAAGGTTGTCTTATCTGTACTGAGAACAAAAAGCGTGGAAAAACCTGGGCTGGTGTTGGACTGATAATAGATTGCTAACAACAGTCATGTGATGGATTTATATTAAGACTATTGTGCTCTCTTTAATGAGTATTTACAGCAACACCCCCCGGAATCATCCATATCTGTAGGTGTGCACAACTGCAGGATAATAATCACACTGTGCTTATTAAAACTAAGATCCACTAGTTTTTTCATTCGCAATATAATAAGGTGCATGAAGAATATTCTCATAACAATTATGCATTTAAGCAAGCACAGCATTTCTGCTTGTGCAAGGCTCTTCTCTTTGATTGGAAGGAAAATGTGTCAGTCTCAGCTCTGACTGGCAGCTTGCGTGTAAAAGGCAGAGTTATTGGGATTTAGCCCAGGGCGCCTGCGGTCAGCACAATATGTGTACTATAAATAATTTGACTGTGTATATCGTGTGATTGTGTGAACAGGGAGAGAGAGAGAGAGAGAGAAAAGAGAGAGAGAGCGAGCTACACACACACTGGGATCAGGGCTTCCTCTCTTGTGAGTGTCTGCAGTCAGAGCGCAGGTACAATAGGGAGCATTGTTCAGCTGGCAGGCCCCTGCGTGCCGGCTCCCCCTCCATACCTGAGCGCAGAGACAGGTGTATTTCTCCTAGTCACGCATAGCCCTGCCACACTCCCAGCTGCCTACACACAGCTTGCCACCAAGATCACACACACCTAGAAAAGCATCCACAGACAAAAGCTAGCATATGCTTAATTGCTGACTACAGATACTCATTTTATTCCTCACAGGAGATCCCTTGTTTGAACCGTTTTAGCCTTGCCATCACCTTTTCCTGATTAAAATTTCAACTTAAATACACCTTTATATGGGCCAAATGCTCTGTCACTTGTGTATATACAAAATTTACCTTTTTTTGGTATATGGCTGCACACTCACTGTGCCATACTCAGACTGTTGATAATTAGGGCTTTAAAATTTAATGATTATAAGATTTGCTCTTTGACACAGAAACTTAATAAACGAAAGCACCTGCAAGTAAAAAAAAAAAAATGTCATGGTCATACTATGGTAGGTCTCCAGGAAGGGTGTGTTTGTCCAAATAAATTCCCCTTTTTCCCAGTGTAAGCGAGAAGGAATGAGTCATACACGTCAGTGGTACTGTACAGCCCGTCCAGGCCAAAAGTTCATTTAATTTCTCTTTAAGTGGGAAAACATGTTTGAGTAAACATTGGAACCCAAGTTACAGTTTGACAACTTAATGGAGGATGAGATGGGAAAGGCCTGAAAGAGATAAAAGAAGAAGTGACCGTTAGGAATAAAGAAATTTCATTCCACATTTGATTGGTTTGCACCAATCAAATGTGGGTTTGGAAGGGGGGTTGTGTTATTGAATACATGGTTTCCTTTGAAAGGTCCTTCCTTCCAGAGATCTGACTCCCTGAGGTGCTGGAAGCAATCCAGCCCTATCAGTCTCATAGCACAAGAGGATTAGTCTTTTATCCTCGCTGATTCTATAGAAAAGAGGTACACGCCACATTATGTCTTGTGTTCGCACATGAGGAATCTTCACCCGTGTCACTCTAAAACCTTGCCTTGACCCCTGTTCAGCTTCACTTTGCACCTTCTACCGTGAGACCAAAGAAACAGATGAAAGTCTGCATGTTGGCTGTGCAAGACATTACATAAGCTGCCAACGTGGAATCTAACGTCAGGTTTCCTGGCTGATAGTTACCAAATTAATTCCCAGGCGGATGTAAAAGTAATAACACCCATGAAAAGTGGGAAAGTCAGAAAATAAAACAAGGAAACCAAGTGTGGCAGGCTAGCAAGCCTGTGGTGGGGCCCATTCCAGTGAAACAGCATGAAGTTATTCGGAAATACTTTTCATTGTCTCTACCCAGTGGTTTCTGTCCTCAACAACCATGTCACTCCCCCCTACACATAACGCAGCTCATATCATACTATAAGATGGTCTCAGTGGTGGCCTGCATTAATATAACCTTTTGTGTTTTTTGGTCTCATAGGCTCTTGTTCTCTATCCTGTTGCTGAAGCTTGGGCACTCAGAGCCACATAAGGAAACATTTGTTCCCATTCTGGTTGAATAGGGCCTTGTGTTGGTGGTAGTCAAAGAGATACAAGGGGATAGGACATCCAAACAGTCCAACACAAGAGCTCTGCTCTGAAGCCCCTCTCTGTCTGAGCCGAGCCAGTAATGAATGTGCTCTAGTCTTAATCACTCTCAGAGCACACACTGGAGATATGACTGACTCAATTGTGCTCTTCTCTATGTTTTGTATGTTGAAAACAGAAGTCACTGAGGTCGTCGCTTCCAGTAAATATCAGATTGGTTTCGCCACCACCAGGTGAGGCCGACTCTGCTTAATGCCCTTTTGACAGAGAGGATTGCCACACATTTTTAGTTGTGTGACTGTGGGGTGTACTTGAAAATCACTGTTTATGCTGCTTAAATTTATCTGCAGCTTCTCTGCACTCAGTCATCCTTGTTTCCCCTGGATTCTCTATTGCATTCCTTCTTTTCCTCCCATCTGTGTGAGCAGCATTCAGAATGGTTTCATGCTCCCTGGATATGATTATCCCTGTCACACCAATCTGGAAAACATTTGTGTGCACATTAGCACATACCTACATACACATACTGGTATGAGTGGGAACATGGTGGAGAAGGATGCACACACACATTTGCAGACACTTAAATGCATGCATGCACGTTGGAAAGCGTACACACACATGCATTCTGCTCTTACATTCAGAAATGATGCATTTTCACGCCATTTGGCTGTATTGTGAGACTTGTTGATTGCTGAGCAGGAAAGCAGAAGAAACTGTTGGCTCTGTTGTTTGTATAGTTTTGGATAAGCGACAACTACCTCTTAATTACCTCTGTAAGATAATTACCTCAACTACTACTTTAACACAGTCTTGATGAATGATTAATGAGCTAAGAGAGAACCTTTGTGGAAGAAGCGAGGTCAACACAGTGAACCAGATAAAAATGTGTAACCCTCCTTTTCTTTCTTTTTTTTTTTCTAAAGGAAAAGAAAACCCTTCACACAGCAGCGGTGGCTTAGGAATGCGAGACAGGAATGCTGTTGAGTTACTATAAAGGGGGTTTGATCACTGAAAACAATGTCTCTGTGTTTTCATCCCCAGCTCTAGTCACGCAATGCTGTGTGCGCAAACCTCCAGCAACTTTTCAACCTCGGCACACAAGAAAGCCATCAAGTACCTGCAATTGACAGAATCGCGTGCAATTCAGGTACTCCTGGTCTATGCTGGAGATCAGCCAGAGGAGCACAGGAAAAGGTGGAGTGGAGCTTCGCCTGCTCCCATGTAGCTGCAATGTAGCAGCTGGTGAAATACAAAATCGCTGTGTTGTAAATGCCAGAGGAAACTAGGTTTTCTGATAACAAACTCTTTATTCTGCTTAATGAGAATAGTTTCTTAGATTAGAATTTACCCACAACGTATCTCCTCCCTGTTTTTGTGATCATCTTAACTACACCTACAATGGATTTATTGCAATATTTTTTTAAAAGGGTATATGTAATCAATATACTTTCTCATATTTATATTAAAATAAACATGTAAACATGTATTAATAGAAGATTTTATTGTCATGTACATTTAATAATAAATTCAACATGACATTTGTTTAGCCTCTACACTGTAAACTGAGTTATGTTCTGATTTTAATCTTTAAATCTGTGCTCCATTCCTTGGAATCCACTCCCTGTTTTGAGGTTTATGGAGAGCTATGATTCCAGAAATACATGCAAGCCTGGAGGTGGTTAGGACATGAAAGTGAGGTAAGAAAGACAAGAGATTCATTCATGGGAAGGTGATTCAAGGCACCGACATCTCTGTATCTCTGCAGAGCAACAGATGATCATTATTACTCACTCACACTGCTCACACGCAACCTGGAATCACACTGACAGATGATGGATGATGGCAACCAAATTATAACAGCTCGTATTCGTGACACAATGACTCCATTACTGTAACAAATAATAACAACAATAACAATGTTGATAACAACAACAATACTATTTGTACTGTATCATTGATAATACAGTCTGCCTGGCTATCTAAACTCAGATTGTTTATAATACTAGTAAACTTATGTTAAAAACAAACTTGTCTTTAATTTCTAGCTAACTGAAATCTGCATGTTTTCAGTTTTACTTCACTGCCTCATTCCTGCATTATAATATCATTCCAGATTACATTCTGCGTTTTTTGATCCTTTTTTTTGTTATTTTTGTAGGTTTTCATTTGCTATCATTCTCTTATTCCCAGATACTTTGCGCCAGCAAGCGTCAACTACACATACCATCATGCCTTGCGCATACGTTTGCTGAAGGCAGCATGTGCTACGCTGCTGCGCTCTAACTATGGCTCAGTGAGGCTGCGGCTCTTCACAGGAGCGTATCGTGTCAGCAGAGGCGCTCGTTGGAGCTACAGCAGAGACATTCACCGCATTGGACCAGAAGGAGGAACCAGCATCTTTACATTCCTTACTGGAAATAATCACTTTGATGGATTTGCTTGATTTGCCAAAGCGTCATTCAGCTTTACGCACGGATTCTTTGAACTTATTAAGAGGATTACACTGTAAAGTTACAGCACTGACACACGTGGATAAGTTACTATTATTTTTTGCTTCAACCTGATTACGATGGCAACAGCTGAGGGATTCAAAACTCAAGCTATGGATCATCCTGTAGGTAACGGGAAAAATGTTTCTGTCCGGGATGAGTGGCGCCTGTTCCTGCCATGGTCCTCCTGCTGGACAAGTCGGCTGACGGACAGTCGAGTCTCTGGGGATACACGCGTTGTCAACAGTGTCAGACATGGTCAGTGTCATTTGCTTTTTGGAAATGTCTTGTGGTGGATTTCGGCACAAGGAAAAGGGATACCCTGGAATACAGTTTGGAGGCTGCGCTCAGTAGATGTCCAGTGATTTGGATAATGTGGATACGCATCTCCTGACCCAGCAGGTATGTGAGAATCGGGCATTCCTGACAACTGCTGCCCTTATAGGTTGTATGTATGCTCAGTTTATTTCAGAAATTGATGTTGTCACTTCTTCTTACCGGTTTAAAGTTTGTGCAATCTGGTTCGGTTCCTCAAATGGTTCCCAATATGGGCTAACATAATGTCACCTGCTGTCATTTCACAAACGAAAAAAAAACCAAGTCCACCAGTGTCTGTTTTGGCCAAAGGTTCTGTCCTTATCTCCCTACACACCCATTTGGCCCATATCTTCACTACCAAATTGAACTTTACAATCAAAATTATCATCGCTTGGGATTTTCTGGGATTATATTTAACGAGGTTTATTTCTTCTTAGTGTCAGTGGAGGGTTACGTGTTTGACGCATGAAGTCTTGTGGTGAGCTCCATATTTAGGTTCACCTGTTCAGAGAGTGAGGACGCTGCTCTGTTATTCTGTAGGCTCAGAGGTGTGCATCTCTCAAAATGTACTCAGATCGATTTAAATACTCCAGATGTATTGATTAAGCTTGGTCAATGCCTGGCCATTCGATATCACATCTTTACATCTATGGCCACCTCACTGTGCACCTGCAGTACCAGGTGCCCACAGCCCCTTCATAGAGCAACAGTCTGTCTTAAGTTGTGACTGACCAGGTGCACCAAAATAAACGCCGCACAGAGTGGATACAGTGTCCATACAAAGCAACATGCTGTCCTCCCTCCTCACCTACAGTAACTCCATTTAGGTGTGAGCAAATCGGTTTGAGCTCAGTGACTTTGACCACAGGGAGGCCTGGCCCTGTGAAGTGCCTGTCATTCATGCTGGCTACTTCTACCTGACACATGGAGTGTTTGAGATGTGAAATCTGTGCTGTGGAGTGTCTTAGATGCTTCGTTTGAGTGGAACCTACAGGTGCATGTGGGATATGTTAGTGTGAGACAAGTGTTTGTACCTGTTCTGTGACATAATGGCATTGCATTAGAGGTAAATTGAATGTGATGAAGCTCCTCTTCCTTCATCTTTCAGCTCTCACTCCTACAATCCCATACATTTGCTCTGCAATAGAGAATTCTGTCCACTGTTGGGGCAGGGCACAGAGCCTCACTATATGTCTGTATACAGCGCAGAGCACAGTCCGAGCACCCCACCCCGCCACCCCAATTCAGCACCCCACCACCCCCCACCCCTTCTATTAAAAATCTTCTCCAAACAAGACTCCCTTTCTCCGCTGAAGAGGGACCCTCTGTCTAATGCCAAGTGACTCTCATGGCCAGCATTGACGGTGGGACACTTGCTTCACAAAAGGAGCTGAAGTGTCAAATAAACTCGGTCAGAGCCCCCGACACACAAGAATTCCTTTATCTGGCACCCTGGGAGGCAGACAAAGACAGACTTTGTGTCAGTGAGCAGGCCTTGACTAAACACTGGGGCTTTTTTTTTTTTTTTTTTTTTTAGTTCTCTTCTCACAGCTTCTGCCTCTTCTTCCTCCTCCTCCTTTTGTCATTTAAACGGTGGAGCGGGAGCATGTCTGTTGACGTGACCCCTCTCGCACGGCATCTGTCCTGCACACGACCAACGTCACTCCTGGTGTGTAAGCGTCATAAAAACGCAGATGCACCCTCTGAAAACCCATGCACATACGCCCACAACTGTCTGATGGACATCAAAGCAGCCATAACATTTCAATATGTGTACTTTTCTGCATACTTTTGTTTATGTCTGGATCCATAGCTAAGAATAGTGAAGCAGGAATTTGCTTTCTCACAGGACTGAAAGTGCTGGCTGTGCTGTCATATGATACTCTTGTGGTGAACCGCAGCAGAGAACCATATACACACTTAACAACCGTGTTTATTTCACTCAACATTTTTGAGGAACTTTCTCATCACTGGCAATTCTTTTACGGGTTTCAATTTCAGGCTGATTTGTATTGGCACATGTATTACACTTGTGAAGAATGTAATGGCCAAATCTTGCATATTCAGTGCTGTCAGTTCCTCACAAGTTGCAGATGATGCTTGTTAGATGATTAACGCCAGTTTACATTACCGTAAAAGGTCATCTAAGCAAATCAGGTAACACACACAAACATGTCAGACTTTCCACACTAGCTGTGTTATGCAGTGGTTTATACAGCTCCACTGTCTGGTCCTTAAAATGAAGAATTTGTGGAAACAGGCACAAATAGTGGAAAAGCCTAGAGGAAACACTTCAGCAGTACTACTGAGACAATTAAGTGGCCCAGAGTTGGAGCTGACTGACTGGCCCCAGTGATAGACATGTGCATCAGGCCCCCAGGCAAGCCAATACAGGCCTACAGAGAGCGCGATAGTCCCCACCATGCTGGCTAAAGTAAACAGATAGAGTTGCTGTGGTCGACCGTGTTAATGGTGTGTTTATGAGCTTAAGGTGAGTGGTGATTTATCATGTCTAAACTTTCGGCTTGGCCACGATCGAGCTCATAGGGTGACAACACCAACTTGAGCGGCATGACCTCCTGGTGAACTATGCCTCATGACCGTTTCTGACCACAGATGGAAAATGGAAGGCAGTATTTGTTATGCATTAATTACACCCTACTTTTGCATCAAGCATGTCCTCAGCATTACCTCATTCTATCTGCAGGTACAAAAGTGAAGTTGCAAGAAAATAACCATCCATCATTAGTGTTGGATAACGGTTTAGTGAGCGCCATGACAAAAACGGGTTGTAAAAAAAAAAAATCATATGCATCTTTTCATATAGAGCACAATTTACACCGTATGTGTAGGTATGTGTGTGTTTAGAATGGGCTCTAAAGTTTGTCCGAACAGGAGCACTGTCATTTATTAGTAGTGCTGGAACAATGGGGAGCTTGTCTCCAGGGTGGTGGGGGCCAGAGGGGGGCCAGAGGGGGCCTGTGGAGCCAGGGGAGGGTGGCCTGAGATTGGGCAGCAGCCTCTGACCAAGAACAAACCCCTGTCTGATGAAGAGAACTGCTGACCCTTCCTGAGTAAAATGGCACCTTTGTTTCGAGGTGGATGTGTTTGTGCCTATGTGTTTATGTGTGTGTGAAAGGGAGAAGGAGAGAGGTTTTGAAAAGCTGGAAGCGCTCTGTAAACTGTTTTTTTTTTTTCTTTTTTTGCCTCAGTGCTTTGGTGATTTTTCCCTCTATTTATGATTTCTCTTAGCCTAGCTTTTTTTTTTTTGTTAGATTCTGACATTATTCAGCTGTTGTTATATGTATTTACCAGACACAAAAGACGATGTGATTATATATATTTTTTGTGAGTGGTCATTTCCTCTTGTGGCTGCTTGGATTTAGACATTTTGTAGATAAAATATACGTTTTCTAAAAGGCAGCTTTCACACAATTTTAGACTTTCTGCTCACAAAACACCCTTTGATTGGGGTGTCCAAATGTCTCATCAAAATGTGTCCATGTGCTTTTATTACTAAAACCAATGATTGTCCATAGGATGCCACACAAATTCTCACAAAGCAGAAGCCTCCTCTGTGACGCTATGACACCAGACCACCTCTATAGACTAATTAGCCACTTTGTGTGTTCCTCTGGCCGCTTGCCACAGTCTGTGTGGTGCTGTCTTCCTACAGGCCTACAAACAACTGTCCTCTAATAATGCTGATGAGGGAGAGATGCTTTGTTTAACCAGTGCGGTAAAGAAACTGCAGGGAGGAGGGAGGAGCAGTAAATACTGGTGGTTAATGGCAGCCAATTGCTGATTTCCTACAGGGAAACCACAACTTAGAGGGTGGCATGTGTATATATGTTTGCGTCAAGGGGGGTGTTCTCCCGGTTTGGGAGTTATCAGGAAGTGGGAGGCTGAGGGAGACAGACAGACTGTGCTTCAGTGAGAGTGCAGCAGGGTGCTTTACAAGAAGTGGAGAACATGAGTGGGGATTCTTTGGAGTAATGCCTCTGGGTCTGACACTTAAAACCTGTCCTCTTTGATAAAGCTCCCCTCTGCACTCGGTTTTTGGATCTTTTCACCTTGCATCATGCCCGATGCTGCTGCTCCCTATTAGATAATAGAATCGTTTGTACTTTGTTCAGCTTTCATTTGGATCTCACTATCCCTTCTGTCCTTTACCTCCTGTGTGAACATAGCCATGCTGGAGGAATACAGAAGATCATAGAAAGGTGAAAGGAAAGGATGGGTGGAGGACAGGTTTTTTTCTTCCCCCGCCTTGACCCCCTCCTAGTGCAAGTGTACAAACCGGAGAGCAAACAGTAAAAACACACATTGCAGTACAGGGGCATCTCTGTCAGTCCAGATACAGACAGACAGCACTCTTTTCAGACTCAAGGCTTCATGCACCACCCATCTCACTACAAGGACACTATGGATCTGCAGAACAGGAGTGAAGAGATGCTAAGAACTCTAAGAGTAAGACATGAATACATGCAGTAGAGGAAGCCATTGTGGGGATTTACAGTGTGGAAGTTTATTCTGTAGCGCATTGTCTGGTGCATTTGAAGCAGACAGGTGCCTGGAGTGGACTTTTAGGTGCATTCTTGACCTGCCTTGCATGTAAGCAAAAAAAAACAGAAAAATCAGAATGCTCTGAGTTTTGCAGTACTTTAAATTCCAGACATTTCTCCAGTTTTCTTTCAAACTGATCTCACTTGTTCTTTTCTTGCTCCTGTTTTGGAGGGAAAATTCCTCCCTTTGTCTTCCATTCTCACGAATGTCACATTCCCCAGAACCTGTGACCATGTTGGGCCTTCACTTTGCTGGGTGTGGGTCGCCATAGCAGCCTCCCGGCGTTTCAGCAAGTCACACCTACATAAGTAAGCCATCCTCATTCAGGAATTGGATTCTTTTTTTTTCTCTCTCTTTCTTTTTCATTCAGTTCACTCTTTCATTCCTCTTCTCTTTTATTTGGCTCTCAGTGGGGAGGATAAAGGAGACATTTTCAGTGTGAAGAGTAGCGTGAAATTTTCATTGTGACCTCCCTGGGACACAGTAGACCACCAGGCTCCTCAGACGACTGTTTATGT